TTAAAACCCCCCCCCCCCCCCCCCCCCCCCCCCTTTAAATACAGATTTTGGTGCCTGGATAATTGTTATTTGTTGTTTTTTTTTATTATTTGAGAAAGGTTTTCCCCATCAGTCATGTAGGTCTAAGGGGCTGACATGGATATGAGTGTAGACGTTCGAATGGAATGTGCATTTTAAAGGTCGAAAAATACTGTCGCTGACCTGACAAAACCCTACTCATTGTACACTGCATGGCATTGGGCGTTTTCACTAGCTCAATTCTCTACTTGGAGAGTTCCATGGTTGAAATGCCATAAAAGCTCTAGTGTACGTACGACTGTTTATAAACCACCTACCAAACACTATCAGAATATTGTGGTTTTTATTTTACTTTCAGAAACAAGAGAGTCGAGATGAGAAGGTCAAAGTCTTACTAGAAAGACTAGTATTAAAGGCTGGTCAGGCATACCATAAGTTCTGTAATGTCTTACAAGTTACCGGTCATTATTTCCTGGCAGATTTCTTACGAGATGAAGGTAAGATAAAGTGGTCATTTGTCTCAATCTAACGACTCTGTTAATCCTAATCCATGTTAATCTAATGCTAATCTCTTCCGAATGGAGTCTTGATGTCGATCTAACGAGCCTGTCATAATAAAAGTCGTCAAGGTCGAATCTCCCCAAATCTTTAAAAAAAAAAAATAAGTGGACAATGGTATTTTCAATAGTGACGTCATGATCTGGCTTGTTTTTTTTCTGGAACCACAGACTTTCCGAGGCGAGGCTGGGTGATAGGGTGCTAAAAAAAATACCGGCATAATACAACACTGCGCATCAAAGAGGATATAACATTACACATATTGTTTAAATTGGGACTCAAACCTTCAACAATTTGGTTGAATGTTCTATTAATTTATGGTATTTCCCTAGATTTTATAATATTTCATTAGATCTTGACGAATCTCGAAATACCGTTATTTTTAAGCAATTACGGGACGTCATAGTTGTTATCCATTTTTGTTGTACTTATCTAAATTCGGTTAAATGGGTGCCTTTAATTCGGCAGATTATCTGTTATAAGACGAGATAGCATATCAATAGATAGTTCATGATTGATTAAACATGATTTGGGATTAATAACTGTAATATTAGACATCTTTAGATTGTCAAAAGAGATAAATATTAATTGGTATTTTGGCTTGAACGATATATGAGAAATAATAAACACCCTTTTTAAGGGCATTCACCAAAATATCTTTTAAAACATTTGATCAAAACACTGGTATTCTGAAAAATGTATTGAAAACTGAAAGAGATCCCTCAAAATTCTCCACCATCATTCCCATTCTTTTACACATGCTAAAGAAAAATTTTGATTCCCACCGGTCCTTTAACTTTAATGATTATGGCGCCACCTAACTTAATCTTAGGAAAGCTCAGTTAGAGGGGAAGAGTAGTACGTAAAACTTTATTTTTATTTGGTGTAAAAGGGTTTGCCCTTGCCCCTAGGAATAATTTCCACTAATTTGGTTCAAACTTCCATCTGATCTACCATCACAGACAGGTAGACTTGACAGAGGTATTTGACTGACAAAATAGCTTTTATGATTTGAAATTTATTTGGGTGGACTGTTTCAACACGGTCATCAGACAAGCATTAAAATACCCGAGTTGTGAACAAATATCCTGTCGTCTATTTGTATTATATATTATAAAGTTAAATAAGATATGATTTTTGAAAGATATAACTTGAGACTTGTCATCGCTTGTATTTTAAATTACTTATATTATGACCTCTATATGTCTCAATTGGACCGCTTTGATAACGTCTTAGGTTTCCCCCTGTCAGTGATGCAGGTACGAGGGGCTGACATGGAAAAAGCGTCTAGTCGTTCGGATGGGACAATAAACCGAGGCCCCGTGTGCTACAGGCTGTGCACGTTAAAGATCCCTCGACAGTTGGAAATCGAAAAAGAGCAGGCTAATGCCGCTGTCCTGGCAAAGTTTCCCTCATTGCACCCTGCATGGCGTTGCCCGTCTTCATTAGCCCACATGGTGCAGAAAAGTAGGACGTAAAACTCCATTCATTTCATTTCATGTTTTTAGACCAAATTGTCAATAGCTTGATGGATTGAAGGAATCCATCCTATTTGTGATTGAGCGCCCGTTAATAATTTCAAAATTCACCACGATATCATAATCACATTTCTAGAAATTTCTAAAGTATTGTAAAAGAACAAAATTTGAGTTAGGATGCATTAGGATGCTCCTTAAAGTGTACACTGTTAGCCTGCATAAACAAATAAGGAAATGTATGGAAATCGTTCTCTGTTTTATAATGAGAACGTTCGTATCTCAGTGGTTGTTTGATATACAATTTAAGGGTGTGGTCTGATTTTTAAAAATATGAAACGGTGTATGATTAACTTGAATAGATCTTTTGTAACATATTGAAATCTCACATTACCTCTTTACAAAACAATTATATAGTCATTACCACACAGTGCAGTATATCACCTTAGTGGTAATCAAGTATAACAATTTTATACATGAGTGTATGATCAAATAATATAAGTCTGTGCGTGTATGGCGTCTAAATGAGGGGACACATAATACAGCTTTTATTTGCACCATTTCGATCTCTCTGATACTTTCAACTTAAATGTTGAAAAAAAATTTCGTTTTCTGATATTTTAGTCTACATTGTAATCTAACAAGTTTTTTACCAAACGCATGTACCAAAGGTAGTATTTTTTTTTTATCGTGTAAAGCCCTTTTCTCGATAGAATAAGGAATTATGAGATATTGAAATCAGAGCAGTATGGAAGTCTTCTTAGGGTTTCACTATCCCACTATTCCTGGGTTAAACATAACATCGTTTTAGATTTTAATAAACTTATTCAGATTAAAACGTAGACTAAAAATATCACAAAACGAAAAAAGATGTGAATCTAATTCTAAGTAGATTGTACCCACAGTTGCCTTTCTCTTAGCATCTGTGCATTCCCCTGATGTATATGACATTTCTAATTTTAATATAAAGTACATGTATTTTAATATACCGCACTAATCTCATGATAATCATATTATAATCTACTATTTTCAGAAACAAACGAGACGGCCAATGTCAAAGATTTAGTTAAGAGGTTACCATTTCTTGGTAAAGTTCTAAAAGATAATGAAAGAAAACTGGTGGAATCGTATGTTATTGAAAAGGTATAATCATTAACAAGTTATTTTCAAACAATTTTTGCATATCAATCAGTACACTATAGAATCAAACCAAAGGGATAAGTGCGCCATTTTTTTTACTTATCGTACCTTAGTCTCAAAACGGGAATTGTTTTAGCTAAGCCAATCAGTAATAGTGTTAACAGCTCACCATCGAAATTTGAGCCTTCAGATCCATGTATGTCCAGCATTATCCGCGTTTGGAAGTTAAAAAAAAATTTGATCAGCGGTAAACGTTCGATTCTCCCCATTTCAGATTCAGTCAGAAACACTAAAGTACATCTGGAAGAATGAAGCCAGAGAAAAAGATAAAGCTTTAGATGCTAAATTGAAACAACTAGAAACCGAAGTTTTGATGAAAGAAAAAAGTAAAGATGCGGACTCGAAAATTAATGAGCTGAAAGGCACTCTAATGACAGCTAGTGAGGAATGTGTTGTCTTAAAAGCTCAAATCAATGCGCTGAAAGCTGAAATTCCAGCAATACGAAAAGAACATCAAGAGGATTTGAACAAGCAAGTGAAATTCAATATGGCTAATGAAAATTCGCTGAAAAAAGTAACGGAAAAATTCGAACACGCTGACAAAGCTATTACCAGAATTCGATTAATGATCAGGGAAGCTGTTACACCTCGAGATAATCGGACAGAAAAACCTACGTCCATTCCTAAAGACAATTTAACCTACTTGATGGACGATCTAGAGTTCCTGATTTCTGAGTTCCGTCAACTGATGGAAACCGAGTCTAAATATGAAGAATTGATCAAGGAACGTGATTGGGTTCTGGTACAACTGGGATTTAATCAAACAGAATCACCAACGCCGAGCCTCACTCAAGCATTTAAATCTTTCATCACCCAAAACCAAGCACAAATCGACGACCTCAAAACTGAAATTGACAAATACGACGAGATGTTGCGAACTCAAACCGACAAGATGTCCTTTATTGAGAATGCAAAGAACGACGATGAGCGTAAAGTGACAAACAGTACCGCTGTCTGGCAGGCAGCCATTATGTCTGTCATGAGGAGACAACTCCAAGATGTTAAAGTCAGTAACCGGAAGAAGGACTCGAATATCCTGTTCCTTGAAGAGGATATAAAGAAGTTAAAAGATAAGATAGCCAAGCTGGAGAACACGTTAGAAGAACAGAAAGAAAATAATGTTACCAGAACCAATGTTATCACCAGTGAAGATTGGAGTAAGCTTCGTGGATCACCATCACGAGATCAGGTGGATACGAACTTCCTCAAATCCATTGATAGCGTGAACGCCATGAACGGTGTCGACGTATCGCTCAGTGATTCTTCAGTGGGTTCTAAACCAGAGAGACAGAAACTCAATGCATTACCTCCTTTAAAATACCCTACCTTTAAAATGAATCCAGGTTCCTCGGTGGCGCGTATATTAAAGGTGCGACCACAAGCTTCTATGCCTAGGAAATACGAATCTCGGCCAATTGGCGGGGTTCCTGAAGGTCTCCATGCTGCTCAACTACATCTAGAAAGTCGACGAGGTAATCAAAATATACATGGAAATGGTTTAAGTGAATTAAAAAGTTTCGCAAGAGATAGATAATAACATATGATACATAAAGTGCTAACTATCAGAATTATAAAACATTGGCCCACTTGGATAGGAAAGGGGCATATATTCTGGAAAGAAGCCCATGTTACTTGTAGGAATTGTGAACAAAATCATTTGAAGTGTCTCAGGATCGACATTGCTGCAAAATGTAAGGATATAGGGTTACACTAATATCTGTACAATTTTCCGCTCAATTCGAATTCAATTTTTGGCAATTACTTTTTATACTATTTGTAAAACCTGTTTTTTTTTTTTATTACAAACAGTTTTTTAGGATTTTATCTAACGTATACCTCAAGGGGTGCTCATCGAAAATTGACAACAAGCAACTCCGATTAGCTGGATGCTCGAAGATACTACTGCCCCGGTGTACTGAATTGAAAAGAAAGTTAAAAAAAACGAGCTGACTGACAGCAACTACATGCAGTCATTCAAAATCTCAGATTCTGTAACAAAAAATGTTTTGTTGTTTTCCATTTGATCACAGGGACTAGGTGTTCGGAAAAAAGCAGTTTTAATAGCGTTGAATTAAATTTTGTGTTACTTTTTGAAAAGCATTTGAACATTCCATATTAAAACATATTCAGATTTAGTTATATCTTTTGATATCTTTGTTGAGAAGAAATTCGTGACGGTTCGTCTGGTAAGCAATGCACTTTCCACATGACCACTTGTATATTGACATCGTCCCTCAGCTGCCCATATGGTACAATTCCAATTCATGACTTAGAGATACTCCAAAATCTGGACCAATGACAACTCAATTCTAGAACGTCAGTTACTTTACCATTTTACTACTGGGTTCGTTAAATTTGAATCCCTTTTCGAACACATCAGACAAGATTCGCTTTTCGAAACAATTCTATTGAAATTAAACCCTTCTAGAATAATTATCACTATCAAAGCAGAGCTTGCCTACTGTTCTACTCATGATGCCATTTTGGTATGTTGATTCCAGTAACACAAAACAGCTAAACAGATATTTTTTCATAACGTTATCTCCCTTGAGTCAGAAATCGTGAAATTGTGTTAATGACAAGCTTTTATGAATTATATAGATAACTACTCGACAAATATCCTTTTTGGAGCTAACAATATCGTTTCATATGATATTATCAAAATGTGAAAGGTTTCGGACCATCTCACCCTTGCAATTGAATCCTTTCTCAAATGAAGCTACGAGGAAAGTGAGCTGTTACTTATTTGAAATTTCAGCTATCTTCATATTCCTTCGAAACGGATCGTAGATACATATTCAAAGTCTAATCAAATTAGACGACACTTTTGTTCCGTATTTTTTTTTATTGGCTTTTATTTTTAATATAGCCACTTCAATTAGGGTCTAACAACAGCCCTCTTGAACGTTCATCAAATTAACTCCATGACGTCTGCTTTGACCAATCAAATTTCTACCCTCTACAGCGCTGACATTTTGTGACGAGGTGTTTATCAGATTAGGTCAAAAGGTTATTTTGACGAATGTTCAAGAGAACTGTCGTTAGATCTTAACTGAAGTGGCTATATCAAAAATAAAAGCCAAATTAAATAAAAAAACGGAACATATAGTTTGGTCTTTTAATTAGACTCTACATATATTGTTATTCAATGCTCTGGTGGTATAGGATCCCAATATCTTATGTGTGTTCATGTTAGAATATGGATGCCCTTTTTCAGTTAACAATTTGGGAGCTGAATGGAGCTGTCCATACTAAGTGAATGGTGATCCAACATTGAATTGGCCTGCAAAGAATAGAAAGGACCAAGGACTCTATATGGATAAATCTAGTCCTACATGTGAATTTAAAGGGAGAAAAAAAGGGTTTAAATTTCCCAATCTCATTCCTTTTTCTTTAAATTTATTTAATACTCTTATCAAGATCCGACTAAATTCTTCGTAAAATCGTGTCCAATTGAAAATTTTTATCTCATTCATCAACTAAAAACACTGCTTAAACAGGCAAACAAAACTACACATGGTTCTTACATGAAATAACACACACTTATGTAGTTCACAGCCATTCTGAATCTCTACCTCGACTTAAAAAGTCGACTTTTTGAAAAGTTTAATCTTATTCAACAAAGCCCTCAAATTACAGCCATGCTAAAACAGTCTGCGAAGTAGATGCATAACAAAGAATAAGATAATGGAACATGACTAGCCATACGAAAATAAATAACTCTATCTGAAATTTATCAGATTGCTCCTGTTCTTACATATTCCAAGGAATTCAAATGGTTCAAAAAGGTTGAAGTAAGAAAATTTACTCGAATTAAACGCAAAATGATGCACCACTTGTAACAAAACCTGACAGTCTGAATAGCAAGAGAAAGTCAAAAGCTTCCCAAAAGCATTGACATCCACCTGAAAGACATTCTGAGCCCTTTGGATTTCAAAATGTAAATATGTCGGCCGTTTTTAAACGTAATGTGAACAAATTTCGTCAGGACAGCATCAGAATCCTACTAATTTATCATTTTTAACTTGGGGGGGGGGGGGGGGGGGGGGGGGGGGGAATTAAAA